ATTTCTTTACCTTATCTGAATTTGAAGAATCTTGTGGATTGCGTGGATTGTTTGATCATGGTGGTTATCTGTCTGTTTGATTTATTTCCTTTAAAAAGAAAATTCCAAAAAAAGATTAGTTAGGATTTGAATTGATCTTATTAGAAGATAATGATACATGTTTAGGATAGGTTTAGAATAACTTTCTTTGAATAAGTCGATAGGATAGCTTTTTAATTTAAATTAGGAATTAGAGTAATTTATTTCCTAGTTTAATTTAGATATTATCCTGATCTCGATGGTTCATTTTAGGGTAATTCTTGATTTCGAATTTTCGTAAAAATACCAAAAAGAAGTCACTTTAGGATAGATTAAATTATCTTTTTTTAGAATAGATTGCATGTTAATTTAGGCATTTTTTTAATTCCGAATTTCATTGGAAAAAACACATCGTTTTCCGTCATTAAAATTAGGTCACGTCGTCGCGTGTCATATAGTTCGCATGCTAGGTTGCATTAATCGCATGTCATATTTTGCACGTCATTGCATATAGGTTAGTTTGCATTTTAATAAAGCGCAAACCCTAAAGAACATCTTGAGTGCCTTACTTTGTTAATTAGAAATCATATTAGGATTGTCTATGTGATTTTCTACTAACAATGCAGATGCTTGCGTTGCTCTAAGGTACGTCATTCTCCTAATCTTGCAATTTATTTATTGCTTTCTTGGGTGTTAAATTGGTGGTTTTCGCACCCGCTTGAGCACCTCACATGTTAATGAGTAGGTAATGAAATGGATTCAGACTGCCTGCATAGACATTTTTTGAAAAGAAAAGGTACCGAAAGGGCGTTAGACTAGATATAGCGTAATCAAGTCCCCGAGCTTAGAATCTCTGGTTTGTAGGAATAAAACATATCTCCCTATGTTTTATTTAGGTTTCTAATCGACCTACCACAAATAGATTAGTGGCGACTCCAAGCATGAAAACTTTTGCATGTTAAGTAGGGCTTGGGTGGGCCCGAGTTAGATTTAGTCTTAATAATCCGTTAGCCTGAAAAATTTTAGGTCGCGACAATTTCGAACTTTTTCCTTCTATGAATGCTAGGGACCTAGTGTAGGCTTCAGCTCACAAAAGTGTAAATCATGGTGATATTGTGTTTGCTAGAAGAGTTCTGCCATTCTTTGCAGTTCGCTATGTGAGTCTGGGACTGTGAAAATTATTGGACCAATTGCATCAGCGGTGGAAGATGTCACGCTAGTGTAAGTATTCTGTACTTGTTAGCTGGATGTTAGGCGCTACTCCTTCAGCTCAAGAGAGTTTTAATGTTTATAATCTCAATATCGAAACCAATGATTTTTGCGGTTGTAGGCACTGAATGATCATCAATTTTTTGGTCCTGGCACTTTTTCTTTGCCGCTTGTCTTGACGTACTAGGAGATGAGTTTATTTAGGGAAAACTTTGAGTTCCAATCACAACATTTGGGAGCATTGTTTCTTCCTATATCCATTGTCATAGGATTCAGATTGTTGTTTCATAGGTCCGAACAGGTTAGCATGCAAGTTTAGTTTTTAACTTTCAGGTAACACTGCAGAAACAAAGACACGTTAAGAATTTATTGAGAAAACGACACAAATGGTCCCTGAACTTTAGCTTAATGTGCAATAGAATCTTTAAACTTTTAATTTGTTCAATGTGGTCCTTAGACTTTTGATACATGTTCAATTTAATCCTTACACTTTTCGAAAATGTTCAATGTTGTCCATAAACTTGAATTAATGGAAGGACAATATTGAATATTCTTATTTAGTTTAAGTACTAAATTGAATATGTACAAAAAGTCAAGGGACAACATACAACAAATGAAAACTTTATGAACCACATTGCATATTAGGCCAAAGTTGAGGAATCATTTGTGTCATTATCCCGAACTTATTTGACTAGGGTAGCATGTGATTTCTCTCTGATGTTGCAGTAATAGTTCAAACTGTGAAGAAAGGAACAGTAATGAATTGGATTCTTTAGAATTTAAAAAGCTGAAGTGAATTCTATCTCATGTAATCGTATAAAGTCCTCATAATCGAAGATCTGAATGTCTTCACAGTTACTTTTGCTTCTTTATGAGACTTAACCCGGTGACCTCCAGCAGGTCACACTTGCCATTATTTAAAGCTCCCCTGCAGTCTCAACCCCCAAAAGGATCATATGATGTAGTCCTTAGGCATAACAGTAGGGCTTATCTGCCTTAGTGGAAGCAACAATCGCACAGAGATCTCTGTAACGATATCATGTTTGTGGCTTGAGTTCCGGCTGTTTTCTTGATGTCCTTATTGTTTAACTTCAATCACATCTTTAATTTCTCTTATATATCATATAATTCTCATCTTGGCAATGCTACATCAGGTATGCTGCAATCCTGGGATCCTATCCTATGGACAGAAATATTTTGAAACCTGTAAGTCTATTATCTTCGTTATGCCTGATTTATGACATGCACTTTGAAGTACATGTTAATGCTACTGATTAGATTGATTTCTTGCTATGAAGTCTTCTTTTTATGTAGGTTGTGAGCAGACTAAATTGCTTTAGCATGATAATTGTCATAATACTACTAACCTGTGCTAGTTCTTGCAGTCACCGCCTTGCTTGCCAAATTTTCCATCTCTTGAAAGTTTGAATGCCGTGGGGTCATTGTGTCTTGGAAAATATACTCCAGTAATAACAGATTCCTAGATGTTATAAGCTTACCTCATATTTTTTCCCCCTTTCCAATTGCATGAACAAATTAATGGTTGCAGTGGTTCAACGATGTTCATTCAACTGATATCTCCGACAAATGTGAGGATATTCTGAATCAGCTATCCAAGACCCATGGCTGTGAAGTAAGTTCTGATTCAGTTGAATAGGCCGTCCAAAGTTACATGACGATTCCATAGAGTAGTGTCTCTAAAGCTTAAAGTAACTTAAGCCTCTCCATATTTGTCTCGTGTTTCTCACCTACTATCTTTTTCCCACTAATGAGCTGGTTCTCTTGTCTGAGTTCACTTCACAAGGCATAATTCTGTCTTTTTATTTATATAATTTGCTGAGTTCCTAATTTGACTTATATGTGTGCAAGGCGGTAGAGATTGTTATACCTGAGCTGCATGAGATGCGCGCTGCTCATCTAGTTTCAATTGGATCTGAGATGGTAACTGCATTGAATCCTGACTGTGAGGATGGGTAAGTCTGCATGTATAATGCACCTGTGAAATAGCATCATCATCATTCTGACCAGAAATGGACACAGCTGAGTAGGATCGAAGGTGATGTTCATTCTCTGTTACTAATATTTCATTTTGGGACTGAATATCCCGTTCTCTTTTCTCAGGAAAGGTACAGAGTTGAATTTGATTCGTGGACTAACATGGCACTGTTCCAGTCATTCACTGCATCAGATTATGTTGCTCCCCAGTGTCTTAGGTGAGCCACAAAGGAAAAAAAATAAAACAACAAATTGCAAGTTATTCTCGACATGAGATCCTTGCAACCCAACATGTAAATATTTCATGTCCTCTCACTGTCTTCAACTAGGCAGAAGTCTAAATACCTGTACTTATTCATGTCTTAGATTTTAGATCAGCTATATCATAGCTGAAGCTAATGAATGAAACCGTAGAACCTAGTTTATTCAGTTTAGGTATATGTCTTCCAGGTGGTCATTTGAAAATGCATTCGCAATCTCATTCGGTTCTTTCTTATAATATTCTTAGACATGGTGGTGATGCCGATATCTGATTTCAGGAGAAGAATGATGCACCATCATATGGAGATCTTCAAGAAAGTTGATGTCATAGTGACACCGACTACTGGGTAGGTCATAGTGTGACTAGCTCAACTTGGTGTTTCCCTTTGAGGATACAGTTTCAATGCTTGATGATTTGTAATTGGACTTGGCAAGCCTGACCTAAGCATAGTTTTTGTCGTTTCAATCACATCCAACTTTGAGAAGGAGCAAGCCGGTAGTATGCATAATTGGATTTAAATTTGTGATATCTCCTTCATTGGCCTGACAGATCTAATCAGGGTCACACTATTCAAATTTTTTCAGTCCTTCAATATTAGCTTAATTCTTCTTGTAGATTTTCAATTGACACATAAATTGTTTATTACAGAATGACAGCGCCTAACATACCTCCTAGTGCCCTTAAATATGGGGAGACGGATATGCAGGTTACAGGTTACAGGCTTCACTGTAGTTTATTTACAGGGTTACTATTAAAGTAGTCAGACAATGCTCGTTCCCCGATTTTAATTGTGAGATATTTGATCTATAAACAAAATTATTTCCAAGTGGCAATAGTAGGCGGCGACGAGAGGAACAAGGGCATCAGTCTTCACAAATAACGTGGGGAGATCTTTGCGGACCATATTTTTATCTTAAAAGCGACTTTATTGTCCTGTTTTAGCCGAGGCCTCCCTATTTGTTTCCATGTCAATTCGAAAAGGATTAATCATTTCAAGATGTTTTCCTTATCGACGATATTTATATTTAAATATTTTCATGGATAATAAAAATAGTTTTGGTTCACTCACTTTTTAAGAAACTATTTTTCAAAGTATCGCAAAATAAACACGCCCTTAAATATAGTTCAAGCGCATACTCTCTCGTTTCATATGGCTCGATATAACGACAAAAACAAGAGTATAGTTTCCATTCTCCAAGCGTTTGACAATTTCCAAAAAAAGAAAATAGAGATCGAAAGTAAACTTTGATAAAAAGAACAAAACACGTATTTTTTTCCCCGAAATTTAATGAGGAAAAAGAGATGATTTGCTCTGAAAAAAAATTGAATCTTTTAGATGTCCTGCTTTGGTTCATCCGATTCCTAACTTTTTTTCTTCTTTTTTTTTGGTCGAATCCGATTCCTAACTTTAGGTGGCACTAAATGAGCATCGACCCCTTCTCACCTAACTCAGAACTGCAATTATGTCTCTTCTCTCTGTTTTTCCCTTCGACTTTCTGTTTTGCTAAAACCGATTAATGAGCAACCTTCCATCAGTCAAGAATGTTGCGTTGCAATGTACGACTAACTGAACAATTTCAGTATCCTCACCAAGCAATCTTTCATTCTTGAGGTTGGAGACGGTTGATGAGCAAAAATGGCATCACCGGGTACCGCTCGAACCGTCCCGAACCGGTCATCGGAAAGTACGAGGAAAGAGTTCGGGCGAGCCTCTTAGAGCAGTCCTCAAGGGCTGGCCGGCGACGCTTAAGATTAGACACATGCTCATTGGTTACGAGCTCGTCACTGTTTAAAGTGATAAGCATAGCGATAACGAAGAGGCCGGAAAAAGCGGAATGCACGTCTTTATAATGGGAGTAGCTGGTCGATCCTCGTGCTGCTGTTCGCCGTGGGACTTTGATAATGGAGCTTGACCTGCTTCATTTCGCTTACTGACAGAGAGACGAGCGTGATGATGATTCGTGCGGCTCATCGAATCGTTAAATTTGACAAGAACAAGTGCGCTTGTCGTGTCATTTCATTCGGGCATTGAGATTAACTGGAGATATTTCGCTCTGGCCAACGGGGTTAATGGTTCGTGATGCTGTGATCTGTCTTTTGTCAATTTAGCATGCCGAGCGCTCGGAAGTCAACGCGCGCTCGAATCCCCAAGCTGCAGTCCGTCTTTTCGTTCGGACGTGAAGGCCCCGTCATACAAGAAGGCCTATCGCCATCGCTTTCGCAAGATGCCGAATAGTTTCTCTCTCTCTCTCTCTCTCTGACCTCGTCCATTTCTACCACCAGATTTGCTCGTTGTGGAATTTCCTAATCTCTTCCCACATCTGGCGAGAGAAACAGAGTACCCGGGATTTCTCCGTGCCTTGGAGTGATTTCTTCTTTCAAGGTACGTGCGGCGAGCATTACGATCGTGCGTGATTTTGGTCTGCGAGGGATGTCTGTCTTGCTGGAGAACTAATCGCGAACTTTGTGTGTGATGGGTGTTTGATCATTTGCTTGTTTGACTGACGAGCACTTTGTGTCCACTGTTTAGCTTCATTTTGGCCGTCTTCTCCCGCGGTTACTAGTTTGCAAGTTGGTTGTCTGGTCGAGAATTCATGTCTTAATTTGGTTTTTCATTAAACAGGTTCATAGAGTATGAAGCTTTGATTGGTCCTATGTTCCTATGACTACAACAAGATCCGGTGGTTACTAACATTTTTCAGTAGTTTGGTCTTTCCCTTTTTTTCCTGGTAGAATTACTTCGACATGGGCAAGAAGCGTGTAATGTTACCAGCCGAAGAGCTCGACTTGTCTACTGTCAAGTATGAGGTTGAAGATATTGACGGTCAGTTCCATATCCTACTACATTTTCCTATTAAGTTTCGATGCTTTTCCTCGCAAATTCTACAAATAGACATGATGGGTTTTTGGGTCATGTGAAAAATGAGTTCGCCGAGATTCTGACTTGGGTGAGTCCTTTTGGCTGACTTGCAGCTCCGCATCTGACCGGTCTCACGTTCAGGCTGTTTGTCAAGATACTCGAGGCACCACTAATTGGCCCTGCTGTTATCTCTTACTTGAAGAACAAGAATCGAATGGTTGAGGTACGGTTGCGTTTCGTCTTGCATACTGCATTCTTCGAGCAGATTTTCTTGCTTTAATGCTGGACGATTGAATGTGACTGGTCTCTTCTTGTAATTGGCAGTTTCTTAGGAGTACTGTGATACCAGAGCCACCAATGTATAGACCTGAATATCCTCCTCAAGGTTTTTCCCCTTAACTAGTTAGCTTTAGTGGTTGTCTTGTGTAATAACATGAAACTGGTGGGTACCAATCTATTTGACTGAACTTGGGATAGCTTAGTGAAAATGTTTCTCGCAGCTGAACAAACCGTAAGTTTGCTGATTTTTTCTCTAATTGAGAAACTCGATGAAATTTGTTCTTGGCATGCTTTTTACTTTTACTCGAGTATTCTTTTCTTTCTCTCTCTTCCCATCACTTTTCTGACTATTTCGGAAAGCCATTATAAGTTTAAAAGAGAGGCATTTTCTGAAGTAATTTCGTGCTCTCCCGTGCTTTTCTTTCCCCTATTATTTTCAGCCTGTGCATGCTTTGCAGTGCATTCATTGCAGGCAAATGCATAGTATAGGGAGAGTAAGAAGAGGGCATACTGGGCATTAGCAGATTAACATGCAACAGGATAGATTCAAGTAGAGTGCATCCTTCCCATAAGAAATATATGCTATGATGAAGCTATTAATGTCTAGATCCGGAGCCTGGCACCATCTTATTGGATGAAGATGGAAATCCTGAAGACCGAGTAGAATTAGCGTTGAAATGTCTTCCAGACTATGATCCTGCCAACTCCTGGAATGGCAATCTCAGTCAATTTCGCTACTGGAAAATACGGGATTATGCGTATGCTTATCGTTCTAAACTTGTAACCCCATCCATGGTAAGTCCATATCAGAACCTATGAGGAGTCTCTTTATTATCAGCTTGAGCAAGACACGTAGTCTTACTGTCAATTATTAGGTGGCAGAGCGGATTATTACTGTCATTGAGGAGTTTAGCCATAAGAAACCTCCAGCTCCTCTACTAATTTCTTTTGACGCTGAGGAAGTCAGGAAACAAGCTGCAGCTTCCACAAAGAGGTTTGAGGAAGGTAGGGCAATCTACTGGAACGTGAGCTTAACTCATTGAAATGGTTGTTTTTGCACCTTCAAAGTATGGTTCCTGCTTGGTGTGCAGTGCACTGCCATTAGTTGGTGCAGGGGTGGTATGATAAATTAATGGCATTTCTGATGCAGGGAAGGCGTTATCAATCTTGGATGGGATTTTCATGGCAATTAAGGATGACATAGGCTGCCACCCATATATAATGAAGGGTAAAAATGGGTTGAAGTCTTTGTCGTTTCTCAAAAAATTCTCACCATCTCTTTAGTCTGTGTATATGACAATTTCTATTGACAGGTGCAACAACTTGGAAGGATGAAACTAATTCGAATAATGAAGATGCAGTTTGTGTTTCTCGATTACGTATCTGCGGTGTGATCTTGGTGGGCAAAGCAAATATGCATGAGATGGGCATGGGCACAACTGGAAACAATCCTAATTATGGGTGAGTTTTATTATGTGGAAATCTTGTAATTGACAAGCTAGAGTATGAGGCATGGGAGCGAGAAAATTTAAAGAGCATTTAAATGTGCATTTGATATTCTACAAATCAGCACATTCATTTCACCAATTGCTGTGCTGGCTTGTTAGTGATGTATCATGAACTTGTCAAAATTGACATTCCATAGAAATTGTCCCTCATCTCTCATCAGAATTTTTATATAGATCACTGCATTGAATGTAGAATGGTGTTGTCAACATATGTTCTGATGTGAGTCAATCTTCCAGTGGAACTTTCTTTTACAGGTGACTTTTTCTGGAGGAATTCTGAAGTGCTTCGAGACTGCTTATGTTGACCTTGTCTTTCTTAAAGCCATTTCATTTTACTTTTCCTATCAGTCTATGAAACAACAAGTTAATACCTGGGTTGTCTGAATATGTCACATGCATCAATATTTGAAGAAAAAAGAATGCATTTCCACGTTCCACATGATGGGCCAATGATAATACTGCTCATCGTAGGGATTATAGTAATTTTCTTCTCATGAGGATGCGTCTACCTTCTCACTCCTCTCCTTTTTTCTTGTGCAAAATGATCTTGAAATGGTTCATCCTTCTCGTCTTTTATTCATCAAAACAAATGATATATCCACCACTGTTTTTGACTTATCTCATTCGGTTACCCTCCCTCTTACATATATATGAATTAGCACATGTCCGTTCCTCAATTCATTCACACTGCATTATATGTTTTTTGTTTGCAAACGTTTACCTTAAAATTCATTGGTTATGCATCTGCAGAACGACAAGGAACCCTCATGCCCCAGAAAGGTACACTGGTGGATCTTCCTCTGGACCAGCGGCAATTGTTGCTTCTGGAATTTGTTCTGCTGCACTCGGGACAGATGGTGGAGGTTGTTCTAGTGTCCTACTGTTTGGCTTGTGCTTACCATGTATTTTATGCTGACACTGACTTCACATAACAAGACAGGTTCAGTTCGAATACCTTCTTCCCTTTGCGGAGTAGTTGGACTGAAAACAACATATGGGCGAACAGATCTTAGGGGGTTAGATTCTGAACTTTTTCCTATTATTAATGCTAGGGACCTAGTATGGGCTTCAGTACACAAAAAGTGTGAATCATGGTGATATTGTGTTTGTTAGAAGAGTTCTCCCATTCTTTGCAGTTCGCTATGTGAGTCTGGGACGGTTGACATTATTGGACCAATTGCATCATCGGTGGAAGATGTCACACTAGTGTAAGTATTCTGTACTTGTTACTGGATGTTTGGAGCCCTCAGCTCAATAGAGGTTTAATGTTTATAACCTCAATATGGAAATGAATAAATTTTGTGGTTGAAGGCATTGAAATGATCATCAATATTTTGGTGTTGGCACTTTTTCTTTGCCGATTGTCTTGACTTATTAGGAGATGAGTTTGTTCAGGGAAAACTTTGAGTTCGAATCACAACATTTGGGAGCATTGTTTCTTCCTATAACCATTGTCGTAGGATTCAAATTGTTATACCATAGGTTAGTACAGGTTAGCATGCAAGTTTATTTTTCAACTTTGAGATAACACTGCATAAAGCAAGACAGGTTAAGAACTTATTTGACTTGGGAAGCATGTGAGCTCTCTGACTTTACGGTGATGGATGAATTTGGATTCGTTGGATTTTAAAAAGCTGAAGTGACTATCCCATGTAATCGAATAAAGTCTTCATAATTGAAGATCTGAATGTCTTCACAGTTACTTTTGCTTCTTTATGAGACTTCACCTGGCAACCTCCAGCAGGTCACACTTGCCATTAGTTAAATCTATCCCGCAGTCTCAACCACCAAAAGGACCATATTATGTAGTCCTTAGGCATAACAGTAGAGCTCATCTACCTTTGTAGAAGCAACAATCGCGCAGAGATCTCTGTAACAATATCGTGTTTGTGGCTGGAGTTTCCAGCTGTTTTCTTGATGTCCTCACTGTTTAACTTCAATCGCTTCTTTAATTTCTCTTATTAATCATATAATTCTCATCTTGGCAATGCTACATCAGGTATGCTACAATCCTGGGATCCTATCCTATGGACAGAAATATTTTGAAACCTGTAAGTCTATTATCTTCATTAACAAAAACTGCAGCTATGCCTGATTTACGACATGCACTTTGAAGGAATACGTGTTAATGCTACTAACACAATTGATATCTTACTGTCAAGTCTTCTTTTAATGTAGGTTGTGAGCAGACTAAACCTTTTTTGTATAATAATTGTCATAATACTACTAAACTGTGCTAGTTCTTGCAGTCACCGCCTTGCTTGCCAAATTTTCCATCTATTGAAAGTTTGAATGCCGTGGGGTCGTTGCGTCTTGGAAAATATACTCAAGTAATAGCTGATTCCTATATGTTAGAAGGTTTCCTTTATTTTCTTTTTCCCCTTTCCAATTACATGAACAAATTAATGTTTGCAGTGGTTCAACGATGTTCATTCAACTGATATCTCTGACAAATGTGAGGATATTCTGAATCAGCTATCTAAGACCCATGGCTGTGAAGTAAGTTCTGCTTCAATTGAATAGGCCTTCCAAAGTTATGTGATTATTCCATAGAGTTGTATGTCTCTAAAGCTTAAAGTAACTTTAGTCTCTCCATGTTTGTCTCGTGTTTCTCACCTATCATCTTTTTCCCGCTAATGAGTTGGTTCTTGTTGAGTTCACTTCACAAGGCATAATTCTGTCTTTTTATTTATATAATTTGCTGAGTTCCTAATTTGACTTATATGTGTGCAAGGCGGTAGAGATTGTTATACCTGAGCTGCATGAGATGCGCACTGCTCATCTAGTTTCAATTGGATCCGAGATGTTAACTGCATTGAATCCTGACTGTGAGGATGGGTAGGTCTGCTTCTCTAATGTACCTGAAATAGCATCATCATCAGTCTGACCAGAAATGGACACAGCTGAGTAGGGAATATTCGAAGGTTATGTTCATTCTCTGTAATTGATATTTCATTTTGGGATTGAATGTCCTGTTCTCAATTTTCTCAGGAAAGGTAAAGAGTTGAATTATGATTCGCGGACTAGCATGGCACTGTTCCAGTCATTCACTGCATCAGATTATGTTGCTGCCCAGAGTATTAGGTGAGCAAAAAAAAAAAAACAAGAGAAATTGCAAGTTATTCTCGACAGGAGATACTTGCACCCATCATGTAAATATATCATGTCCTCCCACTGTCTTCAACTAGGCAGAAGTCTGAATACCTTTACTTATTCATGTCTAGTTTTTAGATTAGCTATATCATAGCTGAAGCTACTAAAACCGTTTTTATTCAGTTTTGGTATATGTCTTCCATGTGGTCATTTGAAAATGCATTCGCAATCTCATTCACTTCTTTCTTAAAATATTCTTAGACATGGTGGTAAGGCCGCTATCTGATTTCAGGAGAAGAATAATGTACCATCATATGGAGATCTTCAAGAAAGTTGATGTCATAGTGACGCCGACTACTGGGTATGTCATTTTGTGACTAGCTCAACTTGGTTTTTCCCTTCAAGGATGCAGTTTCAATGCTCGATGATGTGTAATTGGACTTGGCAAGCCTAATCTAAGCATAGTTTTTGTCTCTTCAATCATCCAAGTTTGAGAAGGAGCAAGCTGGTAGTATGCATAATTGGAGTTAAATTTGGGATCTCTGCTCCAATGGCCTGGCAGACCTTATCAGAATCACAATATATTCAAATTTTGAGTTTTCAGTGCTTCAATGTTAGCTTAATTCTTCTCATGGGTTTTCAACTGACACAGAAATTGTTTATTACAGAATGACAGCACCTAAAATACCTCCTAGTGCCCTTAAATATGGGGAAACGGATATGCACGTTACAGGTTTGTTAGTTGCATTATTAATCTCTGGTTCGACAGTAACAATCCTTTCACGAAAATTGTGTTGAAATCATAAGTTTCGTGCACATACTTGCTTTAATTGCATAACAAGTTTTCAGATACTCAATGTGACATTCTTCACAAGGGACAATTCTTGGGTAGTTTATGCACACTCTCTCTTTGTTTCAGGTTACCTCATGCGATTTGTCGTTGCAGCAAATCTTCTAGGTCTCCCTGCCATTTCTGTCCCTGTGAGTGACACTGCGTTTACGTACGCAATTTCATGGGATTTTTGTGTTCGGAATTATTTTCTTCATTTGCACAGAAACTGTCATTTTGGACCGCTGACAGCTAACCTCATGCCGAGAAATTGAGTCCTAGCTCATTGAGCCAGCTGAGGGAACAAATTGCATTAACCTTCCAACTGCACCTTTTGCAACTGCATTAAGTCATTCTATTAATCAACTCTAGTACAGTTATATCTAGCCCATCCCGTTACTTGTGTTGCAAACTTTACAGATCGGGTATGATAAGCAAGGCCTTCCAATTGGTTTGCAACTGATGGGCCGTCCGTGGGGTGAAGCTTCAATTTTACGCCTGGCTTCTGTAGTTGAGGTATATCTTTTCTCATTTCGAGCGCTAATTATTTGAAGTAATTTGCGAGACAAATGCTATCACTTGCCTATCTTTCTCTTGCTTTCAGGAACTCTCCGGATCTAAGAAGAGGCCTGTATCATTCTACGATGTTCTGAAGGAAAGCTGAATGCAGCTTAGCTCCTGTTGCTGATGTTTCTCTCCCGCTGATTGTATGGGTTTTCAAGCACACGGGGAGATCTTTGCAGTGACTTTATTGCTCCTGATTTAGCGCAGACCTCTCTGTTTTTAATGTCAATTTGGAAAGGACTTGGTTTTCTGTCTACTTTTGTGGCTAAGATATTGGCTTTTGTAAAGTTTAATTACCATACGAAGATTCGCTTTTTATCAAATAAATCGTTTATGCATAGTGACTTTCCCCTAAAACATGTTGTTTCTTCAATGAATTCCTAGTTTCACTATAACACATCGGGTCTACACTGTGTAATATTATCCGCTTTGAGCCCACTGACCCTCGGTACTTTAAAACGTGTTACACAAATATAGAACCCTAGGCTTTATAAGCCAGTCTAGGACTCCCCCTAGATGATGTGAGATATTAAAAAGCATTACACAAATATAGAACCCTAAGTCTTATAAGCCAGTTTAGGACTCTCCCCTTAGGCGATGTGGGACAAGAGAGGCTCCCCCTTCCCTATGCACGTCCAAGGACCGAGGCGCGGACGCACCGTCATCCTAGCTACGGGCCTCCCTCAAGGCTTTGTTCTCAGCACAGCGGAAGCTTTGTGTGAAACATGCTATCTGGTGTAGAGGCGCAGCCGCACTATTATCCCTTAGCTCAGCCCAATATTTTTCTCTTTGGGCCTCCCGCACTGGTGCGGACGCATCGCCATCCCAGTATCGAGCCTCCCTCAAGGCTTTGTTCTCAGCACAGCGAAAGCTTGTGTGAAACCCATTTTAAAGCCCCGAGAGTCAGTGGACTCAAAGCGAACAATATTACATGATGTAGACTGGGGGTGTTACAGATAATTTACGTTTCCTGATTTAAATTGTGAGTTATTTGATCAGTTAAACCAAAAGCAAAACTATTTCCAGGCGGCAACAGTAGGCGGAGATGATAGTTGCTGGGGCATCAGTGCTCATAGGTAACCGAAGATGTTGGCACGGGTGTCGACTTGTGACGATGTCTAGTGGCCGACTTCTTCGTCTGGTGGGTAGAGTGGTAGCCTTTGGCAATTATGGCGGCGATGTTTGGAGTGGACATTGTTGTTGTTTTGGCTTGTGATGCTCCGTGGCGCTAGCAAAGATTAGCAGAAGTTTAGGCGCGAATGACATCATTTCTTGTCCCCGGCCCTATTTCTCTTTCCTTGACAACTTTCTGAGCAAGAAGTAACGTTTGATAACTACACAAAATTTCTATTTTCAAAATAGAAATTTGTTTGATAAGTTGTTCTTAAATTTCTTTTTCCGGTAGCCAGCCAGTGAGTGGCGGCAGTGGGTCGGCGGCGAGCAGTGGCGGACGGGCGGCGGCGAGCGGGTGGCCGCAAGCGGCGCGGGGTGGCGGCGGATGGTTGGCGGTCGACGAGCAAGCGAGCGGCGGCGGATGGGTGGTGGACGGCCGGCGGGCAGCGACGGCGGATGGCTGGTGGGCAATGGATGGCCGATGAGCGATGATAGGTGACGGCCGCGGGCGAGGGGTGGCAAGTGGGCGGCGGTGGGCGGCAAAAGTGAGCAATAAAAGAGAGTTGTCATTTCTATTTCTGGAACAAAAATAGAAAAGTATAAAATTTTAACTTCTCATTTCTGTTCCAATCTATTTATAGGCCAAAATTTGTCCTAGAAATAAAAAAATGAAATTATTTTACCAATCGAATTTCTGTTGCAAACCTGTTTCGAAAAAAAAAAACACAAAAAAATAGAATGGTTGTTATTCGCGTTCTTAGTAACCTCCACTGCCAAAAGAAATAAACTCTTAGCAGCAAACTTGACCTCAAATAATATCTATGGTCCAATTGCATAATCGAATCCGTTCGCAAATGTTTAATATTCATGTGTACCAATCGGGAGTTGATCGAGTGGCTGCTAGGACCAGGGTCTCATGGCCATGAACACTCAATCCGAAGTCTTACAGCCACCTCGGATGCTTAGCTCGAGCTTGAGCTCAAAGTAGATAGTCATGGCCCGCTAGAGCTTTGAGATTATGGCCATGGACGCTCGAGCTCGAGGCGGCGAGCAATTGTCATTTGTGTCAACAGGTTTATGAAATCGTTTAATTCATGTCGATCCGTGTCAATTTCTTTTCTCAGACTTATCAAATCCACATAAAGTTTTCCATCACCAAACTCATCCATCGGTGGTCCATGTCAGCAACAGCAGATCAGAAAAGAAAATTAACTGTCATATAACTGTTACATGAAGTCCTAGCAATTGGATCCGCCACTTCAACACACACCACTCTCTCTCTCAGAGTGATCGGACGGGGGAATTTAAGAAGATCTGCCATGGCTTCTCCCGATGCTGCCAAGAAAAGGGTAGCGCCTGCTGTCAAGTCACCTTCCTCCCTCTTCCCATACGCCATCTTCCTAACCCTAATCATTCTCTTCCTCTACTCCACTTTCGTCGCTCCCCCGGCCTCCCCTCCTCCCGAAGAGAAGATCTCCCCATCCTGCAACCTCTTCGACGGCCGATGGGTCCTCGACCCGGAGACCCGGGAGCCCATGTACGACGAGGCATGCCCGTTTCACCGGAACGCCTGGAACTGCCTGAGGAACCAGAGAGAAAACATGGGTACGATCAATTCCCGGAGATGGGTGCCTAAAGGTTGCAGCTTGGACCGGATCGACCCGGTTCGGTTCCTGGGTCTGATGAGGAACAAGAACATTGGGTTCGTGGGGGACTCGTTGAACGAGAATTTCTTGGTTTCGCTTCTGTGCATACTGAGGGCGGCTGATGCGGGTGCCAAGAAGTGGAAGAGGAAAGGGGCTTGGAGAGGAGCTCATTTTCCCAAGTTTAACGTCACGGTTGCTTATCACAGAGCGGTGCTGCTGGCTAAATACGAGTAAGACCTTTCTTGATCAGTGGTTTTATTTTTTGTTCATATCGTTGCATTGTTGAAGAGATGATCTTGAATGAGTGATGTGGCTATTGTTTTGATATTTTGAATGTTTTCAAGTAATAGACGGCTATTGATGAATGTTCATGTCAGTTGCATATTTAATTAATTAACAAATTTCCCAAGTATACTCATCCCCAGTTGCTTATGTTTTCATCGGACAACCTTCTGTTCCATAAGAACTTTTATCAATTTTCTGGAATTGAATTTGGTGACTACGCGGTGTCCCTGCACCATATTCCTATGGACAGAGTTTGTTTGTAGAAACTGCTGAAATTGTTCAACAAGTGTAAAGATTTTGAGAGAGAGCTTCTGACTTTGTCTTAGAGGTGGTTGTCAACATTGTTGTGAGAATGTGCTAGAAAAGCCTGAGGGGTATGCGATTGATGGACCAGCATAAACCAGCAGATCGCAATGCCGTAATCTTTAAGAGTTGCTAATTGATGCTGAATCTAACTAAAGTATCTGCAATTAAGCTATAAAGATCTCTCGCTTATCGATAGCTGGAACTGGAAGTGTTAAATCCGATTGATCACCTAATGACAATATCGATGTTGCTTATTTTCTCTTAAATCAATCTGCAAAGTTTGCTTATAAAGCATTGTACTTATAACCTCACATGCTTATAACTGATTAAATGAAGGTGGCAGCCGGAAGAGTCCACTCTGGCTGAAGGACATGGATCAAAAGGTTTTTATCGAGTAGATGTGGACATTCCTGCTGATGATTGGGGCCACATCAATGGCTTCTATGATGTCCTTGTTTTCAATACTGGTCACTGGTAATTTCGCTCTGTCGCTTAGTTTTGTTCACTAAGATAAATCTATCTGATGCTTTTGCATCCTTGGTGTCTTAATGCTTTCATTTCTTTCCCTGCACTAATATCGTGTCTCTAATGAAATGTGTGGGCTTTGCCCTATAAATATCTAGAACCTTTAGGCTGTGTAGGTGATACCTGATTACTCTGCTTAGTCTTAAGATTTTGTCTGCCGTGAAGACCATTATCTCCTCATTTCTAAGCTAGTTATGTCATTTCTTGTGTGTCCTGATGTGTAGGGTAACCGTTTATGCTATCTTTAACCTTGTCAGGTTGGATCAACTGGTGTATTCCTGTTATTCCATATTTATTTTTAGTTTTATGGACTGAGGTGAACTCTATGAGTACTTACATGGGTGGTTTAGGGAGCCTTATTGTCGATTGGATCAGTGCTGAGATAAGTGAATATGGTATCTGAATAAGACGAGAGCAAGGAAAGAAGTAGAAGTTTTAGGAGAACAGTTAAGTCTCAGAATTATTATTCCCACTGGTGGTTTTTCGAAGAAGCAAACTGAGATAACATAGGCTGGAAAATAGTCAAAAGTGTCAACCGACTAAAGATTGCGGTTCTCGTGAATCTGAAATGCTGCCATTTCACTATTAGCCTCTTTAAGAACTGTTAATATTAGTCGCTTGTTCTTGCCTGTATAATCCTTTCCCTGAACATTTCTTACATGGAACCCTTTTTCCTTTGATAGGTGGGGTTTGGATAAGTTCCCGGAAGAGGCACCACTAGTCTTTTATCGGGCTGGACGCCCGATCTTCCCACGCCTCAAGATGTTGGATGGACTCAAAGTTGTTCTTGAGAATATGATTTTGCATATACAAAGGAAAATCCCCAAGGAGACCCTCAAGTTCTGGCGGTTACAGTCGCCAAGGCATTTTCACGGTGGAGACTGGAATCAGAATGGTAGTTGCCTGTTCAATGAGCCACTCCAGGATTCTCAGGTACAAAAATAGAATCTTGCACTCTTTGTGCCTCACTGCTCTCTCATGCTACTGTTCCAGTATGCTAGCTGATCAAGTACCATACTTCAAAGATTTCTTGCATATCAAATAACAGATTTAAGTAAATACTTTCCATAAATTTGTGCTTGCTCTTCCTCTGGCCGTTTCTCGTTGTTGAGCTACTTTGGGACTTCTCTACATATCGCAACAACACAATCAGATTTTTACTCGGGATTGGGTACTAACAACTAGACAGCTTGATATGTGGTTTGATCCCAGCAACAATGGCGTGAATAAAGAAGCAAGACTGCTGAATAATCTGATCGAGGGCACGCTGCGAGGAACGGATATTCAGTTGCTGGATTTGACACATCTGAGTGAATTCAGAGCTGATGCCCACCCAGCAATTTGGTTGGGAAAGAAGGACGCAGTGGCTGTTTGGGGCCAAGATTGCATGCACTGGTGCCTACCTGGTGTGCCTGATACATGGGTTGATATTTTGTCCCAATTAATCCGTCATGGCTTGGAGAGACGGTGACGAACTAGGAAGTATCGTGCGATGGTGACTGTTGAAGATGGTGATGAAGCTAGCTGGTTGAATTTTGACAACGGGTTCGCACTTAATCATGTGAAACTGACTCAATCTTTGAAATTCTTTATTGATTTGCTGGTAGACTTAACAGCTGCTCCATGGCTTGCGACGAACTCCGAACTGACGATTTTAAAGAGAAGTGTCGGTTCACAGCTAGGGACAAGCTTTACCAGTCAACCACCGAGGCACTTCAATGCACAACATGTTAGGAAATCCGAATTCGAGGGTCTCGTTTGTTGCTGGTGTGCTTGCCTTAACCATGGTGATCATTTTCTTTCTAAGCTTATGGATCATAGATCTGAAGTTTGTTCTTCCTTGTAAGGTGAGCTATTCTCTCTCTTGTTTTAGTAGGGAGGTGGGTGAAAAAAAGCCACATGTCCGGGTTGGTCTCTTGAATACGGTCATTTTGTAAAGACGACATTTAAATGAAGAAATAGATGAACACAGTCTATTCTTTCGTTCAATGTTCATGCATATTGAGATGATTTGGTGCGATGTGAATGGTTCTTGCAAGTACAAATCCATCACTGGAGTCAATCTTCCGATGTGATCGTAGAAATTAGATTTGTATGGTATTCACATCTAATCAACGATTTTGATGGGCTTGATCTATTTAGAATTCGATCATTGCGAGACGGGCGCACCGCACCGTAATTACAGGTCTTCTACTTTAGTTTTTTACTGTTTAATAAATTTGACGTGATCAGCATTTTCGCAGGGTATTTAAATCAAGAATATTTGAAATCTTTTTCCAAATAAAAACATTGCTACTCAAGATTATTTCAAATGTTTTTTTTTCGCAAATTTTGTAAATGTAAACAATACTTTATTTCATTTAAACTGTGGAGAGTCGAAATTAGCTAATAAAAACTGAGTGCGACTGAATCGTTAAAAGTTAATTTTTCTTTTTTCCAAAAGTGGACAAATATAGGCCTATGCTTACTTTCATAACTCATGGTATATAAAGATATTAATCAGATGTTTTTCGATGCTTTCAATCACGTATTAAGAAGAACCCTAGAACCGGCAATCAGAGTACCGTTTTCCCTTCTTCGGTTCCCCCAAATCCCCTCTCCTTCCCGGCCGTCGTCCTCCCTTCATCAAATCCTCGTCCTCTCCGAAACATTCGAACCTCCTCCTCCTCCTCCTCCAATGGCGGCGCTGAGAATCCACCCGCCTCTTCCCCTGAATGCCCTGCCGCGACCCCCCGGAAGACCACCCCGCCTCCACCCCCTCCGCCTCAACGCCCGCAAGTCCCTCCCCCTCTCCGCGCCGTGCAGGGGGGGCGGCAGGAGGAAGGAGGCCGGCGACGCCGAGCTCGCGTCCGCCCTGGCCGAGGAGGTCGCGAGGGCGCACGCCCAGGGGAAGCAGAGGGACGAGGCCCTGGCGAAGGGCAGGGCCCTCCTGTTCTCCGAGCTCTGCGGCTACTTGTCGCTGAAGGAGGACGAGCTGTGGAGGAAGTGGGAGGGGATGGAGGATGGGGAGCGGCGGGGTCTGGCGACGGAGTTCGCGTCGAATTGGAGTGCCGATTTCCATCCCCTGTCCGCGAGGTCCGTCGTGGAGATGGTCGAGGAGCATCTGCAGCAGCAAGGAAAGAAGCCGCCTTTCTCGAACGATTCGGCGTTTTTTCCTGGCTTGAAGAGATTGATGGGTTTGGGCGAGAACAAGTGAATGGGTTCTTGGGGTTGTGGTTTTGTTGGGTGGGGCAAGTTTCTATTCGCTCTGCGATTCCCTTCGTCTTTTCTTGGATGGGAAGAGCTGAGTAGTGAGTGGTGACTGCAGTGCACGATGTCCTTCTGATCAATATTGATTGTACATGTTTATACAGCATTATCATGGCGACTTGAGTTCTGTTGATTTGCGTTTGCTCTGCTTTGCTTCTTGCTTCCCTCTTCCTTTTTCCCCTGTCCCTCCTAATAAAAATGGAGTTTTGTTCTGTTTGTTGAATTTTGTGGATTGGCAATGGTAATCGGTCAAACGAACCATACTTAAATTTGGCAATAAATTTTTGTTTCTTGACTGGGTTCTATGCCTATAGCTTTTTATGTTGTCGCAATAGTTTACCATAATTTGTTTGCATAATCTACGGTATTAAAAGTCACCAAATATAATATGCAATTACCAACTTTTTTGAGTTCATCTACCAACATTTTTTAGATTGTTGCAAAAGTTCCAATGTGTTAAACGATCGACTTTTATATGAAATGTCACTATTCACATTCAAAAGTTGCTGGTATTTGTTTACTCTGGTTCTTGACAAATTCAAACCTACTCCCTCCTCGAGCGAACAAATCTTCTTGCAGTTCTTTAAACAAATGAAACCCTCACTGGTGGGCTTGTCCGAACATCCCACTGGAGAAGCAGAACGGGTCCTGATATGGCGAAGCTTTCATCTGTCGCTCCTTTATTTACCAACTTGCACCCTTTCTCTCCCATGTTCTCTTCATCTGCAAGGAAAAGTTTGGAGCTTTTTCGCAGTCTCTCACTGAATCACGTATCATCCTCATGGGAATTGAAGGAATCGAGGGACGCGTTCCATTTTCTTCCTCTTCAGTTCATCGGTGGAAGTACGACGTGTTCGTGAGCTTCAGAGGTGAGGACATCAGGAAGACCTTTGCTGCCCACCTCTTCCGCGCGCTGAAGCGGGCGGGGTTCCGCTGCTTTGAGGATGATGACGGGGTGGAGACCGGGATTCTCATCAAGCCCAAGCTGCTCGACGCGATCCGCCATTCCAGGGTTTCTCTCATCGTGTTCACCGTCGACTACGTGGACTCGCGGTGGTGCTTAGACGAGCTGGTGGAGATCCTGGAGTGCAACAGGCGCAGAAATCATCAGGGTCACGCGGTTCTGCCTATTTTCTATGATGTTGAGCCAAGTGATGTTTGGAAACAGAGTGGGCGATTTGGGGATGGTTTTGGAAGGTGCTTGGCCACCCAGACGGACGATTTGCTGGTGCAGAAGTGGAGGGATTCGCTTAAAGAAGCTGGGAATTTATCAGGATGCCATTTATCTCCTGATGCTAACGGGTAATGCACTATCTTCCTCGAGAGCATTATGTTCTCAGTCGTATTTTCAGTTGTGCTCGCTGCAAAAGTTCATATTGGTGCTCGATTTGAGCTTACTTAGACTCTGTTTGATTTGGGTGTGAGCAGTTAGTGTAGATTTTAATATGAAGGTGTGTGTATCTATCTGTGTTTATGGGACAACCTGTCAAAGGGTGAAAATAGGTAAACAATAGCGCTTTTATAGGATGAGAAAGGATTATGAGGGCATGAGGATGGATTTAGTTTCTCTAGTTGGTCTTGTATATGAGAATAGCGTATTTATAGGCCTCTTTAGCTGACATGCTCTGCAAATTATCTCTGCTTGTCTCAGAGCACTAAACATCAACTAACGTAGGGTTGCCCAATCTCACTTCGGTATATATAGATTCATCTCTCGTCATGTGATTACTACATCCACTACTAATATATCACTCATCATTCTTCTCCACATTAATCTCTTGGCATGCGTAGAACGTATTGTCTGTATTTTCCTTTTTATTTTTCATTATAGTTAGCTTGGTAATTTATTTTTGAGTGACAATCTTTTTCAGTGTGGCCATAATTTATACGAGAGCGACATTGTGTTTATCTATAAAACCAACAATCTTTCTCCAAGTGATTCGTTTTCTTGCAAATACTGCATTAGTATTTTTCTTTTGGAGAGTTTTCTCCTCCTCTTTTATTTTTCCATGAACCCTTTCAACCATTCTTAGATTTATGAGACCGTATGTTTATTTTAGACTGAAAGACACTTTCAACTGATTCTTCATATTAAACCATCAGTCTTTTTTTATGCGCCTCTAGAGAGCCAAATAATTCACTAACTAACAGGGTTCTTAAATCCTTTGGTTCTCCGATAGAGGTGACAATGGTATTGTATTTTCTGATAATTGTTGTCAACATTTTTTCTACTATCCTTTGATCAGTGATATCCTCTCTGTAGGCCCTCATTTAATTTACTGGTTCTTTTAATCTACCACAAAATTGTTGGACGGTCTCATGATCTTTCATTTTAGCATCTTTGTATCCCCTTCTAAGGGATTGAAGTCTAACGGTGCATGTCTTGCTTTGGAACTATTCTCGTAGTATATCTCATGCCTTTTTAGCGGTCTTCGCTCCAATGATTCTCAGAAATATCATTTCGGAGAGTACTTGCTGGATTACACGGGCCTTGCATCTCTGTCGGAACGCTTGCTCCTTCTTTCGGAGCCGTATATCCTTTCTCAATGATGTCCTGTAAATCTAAGCCATCAATTAAGGAGCTATTCAAATAGTCATAGTTATTTCCATTGAAAGTAGGAATGGGTAGTGAGCGTGAGGTAGAGTTTGGCCATAATTTTGATGTCGAATAATTAGGTGGGTGATTGTAGTAGCGGGTGAATAGAACAAACATCCAATACCAACTGAAGGAGGTTCTGATATTACTATCAAATTTTGTTAGATTTTGGTGTTAGTATTTGATATAGATTTTGATGAGAAAGTGTGCAACATGGCAAAGGGTGGGAAAGGAAAACAATAGAACTTTTATTTGACGAGAAAGGATAAAAAAGGTAAAGGGAAGGGTTTAGTTTTTCTAGTTGGTCTTGCATATAAGAATTGAGCACTACAAGCCTCTTTAACCGACACACTCAGCAAATTATCTCTGCTTGTGTTAGAGATATCTGCTTCATTTGTGTCTTTTATTTGCATGCTTTAATCATGGACAATTTGTTGGCCACTAATCTTAAGTGCAGCGAGAGTTCTCCTAGGATGTGACGCTAATTATGTTAAAGATCTTCACACTCAGGCCAATGTGAGACAGATACTATTTGCTGTGTCTTCTCAGCTTTTGTCATGCTAAAGATTCTCCATTGCTGGGAAAGGCGAGGATCAGTGCACCAGAATACGTGCCCCCACAGTACTTGGAATTGACCTGGAATCTTTGATTGAAGGGCAAGTAGTCGTAGAACCTCCTTCCTTTGTTGCCTGCTATAATAGTCAAAAAAAGAAGTAGCTTTCTGAGCGAATAACTGAATATGATCTCAACTCTACGAATCATGCTTCCGGGGTAAATGCGCTTAGTGGAGAGTATTCAACACACTTCAAGAAGAGAGTATCCTAGGTTAGAAGGCCAATGACATACCTCTTCACCTTCTAGATAATTGTAGTTTGGCAAAAAATCTAGGAAACTCTAGAAAATGGATTAATAATTTAACAAAACTTTACTACTGATTGAATTGAGTTCATATGTTTCTTGCTTATATGCCGATGGCCTCTCCATGCGATAGTTAGTTATGTTTGAACTAGTTCTGCCCATGCAACTACAGGGATCAATCGGACTTCATCAAGCAAATTGTAGGACATCTCTTCAAGATTATTCCCAGAACAAGTTCCCCCTATGCTATTGGAATAGATTCCTTTGTAGATGATGTGATATCGTTGCTGCAAATTGGGTCAGAGGATGATGTCCGTGTCGTTGGAATATGGGGAATGAAAGGAATTGGTAAGACAACCATGGCCAAAGTCGTTTGTGATCGCCTTTTCAGGGAATTTTAAGGTGTAAGCTTACTTGAAAATGTTGGAGATGCAAACGAAGGTACTCTTTTACTTCTTCAGAAGAGACTACTCCATGATGTTCTGCAGGTACAAGGTCTAGAAATGGATGATCTTAACAGCAATGTCAATGAGATAAAAGATAAACTCTGTCGAAAAAGGATTATTCTAGTTCTTGATGGCATCACTAACAAGGACCAAATTGAGTATTTTGGCGCTGAAGATCGAGAATGGTTCCAAGATGGGAGTAGAATTTTGATAACTACAAGAGAAGAACGGCTTTTGGGAGATCTCAAAGTAGATGATAAATACATGCTCCCCGGACTAGGGTCTAGAGAATCACTCCAACTCATGTGTCACCACGCCTTCTGCAAAGACCAACGTAAAGAAGGGTATGAAGAGTTGTCCAAGAGTCTTGTCCATTATGCAGGCGGTCTGCCAATAGTTCTTAAGAGATTTGGTTCCTTTCTTTCTAGGAGGAAAAATCAGTGGCGAGAGATATTACAGAAGTTGCTAACACATCCTCATCTTTATTCAATCGGAATACCTTTATATACATTCTCCTCTCTTTGTCACTCTGTAGGGCCATTTGGAGGCCATGGTGGAAGTTCTTTTTATGATCAAACATACAGTGACATAAGAAAAATAACGATTGTTGAAAGATCAGTGATCGAGTCCATTACTATTGACTATGATCAGAATGGGTGTTTGGTGTGCTCACCAAGACATGGTGGATCTATTGACTATGATCAGAATGGCTGTTTGGTGAGCTCGCTAAGACATGGTGGATTTTTGGAAGGCAAAATATGGGAGGTAAGTCCATTATTACAGTCACACTTTGTATTTGCAATATTTACGTCTAGTTATGCTATTCTTTATGAAAATATCAGCTACTCTTCATGGAATGGAGGTTGAGAAAAAGTAGTGTTACTGAGTCATAAAACATGCATTTGCTTGAAGCAAATCGACTGGGTACTTCCACGATAATTAATCAGCTCCTGATATATTGATGGTCTCGTTGTCTGTCCTAAGATTTGTCTTTAGGGTGCCAAAGGAAAAATAATTTCACTAGTGTCATCTACTTCTCTGATGTTACACTTAATCAGAGATCGCTTCAGTGCTTGTCATTGTCAATATTGAGTGTCAAGAATGCCATGTGCTTATGGCGCAAAGCATTGGGGGTTCGAGATGGAGTTGAATAATAATGATAAAAGACTAGTGAAAAAGGCAAACTGTGATCCATGATAAGAGAAGGACTACAAGTATACATGACATAGCCTCTAACTAGTCCTTCCAGGAATTAAATATCTTTTGTCTGGGGATAACTTAACCTAAATAGTGCATCTAGAGAGCATAGGATTTTCGTTCTTCAAGGGTTATTGATACTCACTTCCCTCTTCTGCAATTGTTGCAGTTACATTTAGATTATCCAGATGAATACTTGATTTCAGTTTCCGGCTACATTCGAGAAGATTCTTATCGTGTCATCAACGCTCTTACCTTCCACAGCAATAAGAGGCCATATGGGCCATATGGCAATGAGAGAGGGAAGTTTTTCAGGTTTCCACAAGTTGATGGAAAAATCATTGGTTTTCATGGAAGGTGTGGCTTTTCTCTGGATTCCATTGGAGCTTATTTTGGACCTGTCTCTCAGCCATATCCTTTCGAAGACGTAGGGCCATTTGGAAATGGGGAAAACTGCTGGGATGATGGCAAGCATACAGATGTGAGACAAATTGTTGTAGTCTCTGGTTCTGCAGTTGCATCTATTAGTATTACCTATGAGGAGGGTCATTCTTTTGGACACGGTGCAAGTGATGGCGGCAAAATAAATACGGTAGGCTACTCTAGTAGGAACTCGGTGTCAGATAAATGTTACCCTTTCTATTTTCAATGATGCAGCTTATCATGCCATTGCTGAAGACAGTGTCTAGATGGAAATGATATACTAAAACCTTGTAACTTAGGTATGACACCATCAACAGGAAGCAAGTTTTTATAGGAAAAAGATAGATTAAAATAAGTTCTTCATAAAATTGAACACTTTTTGAACTTTTGTATTTAAAACGGTTGATAAGGGAGAGTAAATCAATTGTTCTCCATCTATGAAAGTATTTTTCATTGATTCATTTTGTTAAGCGAAACAAATAGTCAGTTTAGGAAAATGTTTTTCAAATCATTGATTTTCAGCAAAGTAAACGCACTTGAATTATCTTTTTTCTTTTTTCATCTTATTTATGTTGATATGATGTTGAAGTAGGAAAGATGAATTACTATTTTTCAGATCATGCATCATCATCTCAATCATCAAGAAAGTGGATCATGCACTGGTCATTCTCATCTACCCTGCATTTGTTTCCTGGCTTGTTGCAGTAACTTTTCTTCGCCCTTTATATGGTTGTTACAGATAACTCTAGACTGGTTGACTTAATATCTAACTTCAGTTTCGAGATTTATTGTGAATGATTTGGGTTCTACCATCATCCACTCACTCAAATTTCAAAGTAATAAAAGAACATACGGACCATTCGGCACTGAAACCGGAAGGAAGTTTTCATTTCCAGCAACTGGTGGAAAGATCATTGGATTTTATGGGAGTTCTGGTTCCCATCTTCGAGCTCTTGGAGCATATTTCGAACCAATATCTCATCTATATCCGATCAATTGTAGTGGACCATTTGGAGGCCAAGGTGGATTCCCATGGGACAATGGAAAATTTAATGGTGTAACGAAAATAAAATTGATTGTGGAAAACGTTGTCAACTGCATCTCCTTTGAGTATGATGATAATGGCGAATCTATATGGTCCTCTACACATGGTCACAGTGGCAATGGAGATATACATATGGTGAGTTTATTGAATATTTTTCATTCATATTACCATTGTTCCTCTCCTCCTTCTCTCTCACACACACCTGCACACACAAACCCCATTCTCGATTCTATGAGAATTTTTATGAAGCCTTTCATTTGCTTCTCTTCTTTTGATGATTGATTCACTCTGATAAGAAATAGGTTGGTTATGTATCATCTCTTCAACAAGTTTAGTAACGAGCATAACTGGCCTATTTTTCCAATGAAGAGAAGCACCTATGATTATCTTGTCAGTGAATATCCAAACGAACAATTTCAATGAATCTTTCAATTTTTTATCAACTTTGCTCAGCTCTATGTATTCCTCTATCTGTAGAGTACATTCAATATACGGAAATGGCCGTAACATACTTTCTCTTATTCGTATTAATAGCTACTTTAGGAGGAATGTTTTTATGCGGTGTGGTAAGGTATGGAGGTCCAAGTGCCTACAAACTGCCTTGTGCCACCATTATTCTAAGTACTAGTTTTCTAATAAACTTGAAAAGTTTTATTAAAGTAATTTATGAGTGATAGTAGCCCCGTATGCATAATGTACAATAATAAAGTATGGGTAGTGGGAAGCATCTTTGAGGGAAATGAAAGCATCTTCGGCAAAGACCAACCTAAAGAAGGGCATGAGGAGTTGTTCAAGAGTCTTGTCCACTATGCAGGCGGTCTGCCAATGCTTCTTAAGAAATTTGGTTCCTTTCTTTTTAGTAGGAAAAATCAGCGGCCTGAAATTTTGGAGAAGTTGGCAAGGGATCCTCATCTTGATTCAATTGGAATACCTTTAGATCCATTCTTCTCTCTTCGTCTCTCTGTAGGGCCATTTGGAGGCCATGTTGGAGATTCTTATGATGATCAATCATACAATTAACATAAGAAAAATAGCAATCGTTGTTAGCTCAGTGATCGAGTCCATTACTATTGACTATGATCACAATGGGTGTTCGGTGTCCTCGCCAAGACGTGGTGGATCTTGGGGAGGCCAAGCATTGGAGGTGAGTCCTTTAGCTTACAGTTCGCTTTGTTGATTTGCAATATTTACGTATGGTTATGCTATTCTCCATGAAAATATCGGCTACTGTTCGTTTATGGAATGGAGGTTGAGAAAAAGTTGTCACTGAGTCATAGAAAATGGACTTGCTCGAAACAAATCAACTGGGTACTTCCATGATGCTTGATTAGCTCCCATTATCTTGATGGTTTTGGTGAACTTTCCTAGTATTTGTCTTTAGGGTGCCAAAAATAAAAAAGGAAGATAATTGCACTAGCGTCGTCTACTTACTCTGATGTTACATTTAATCCGAGAATGCTTCAGTGCTTGTCATCGTCAAGAATGCCATTTGGTTATGGAGCAAAGCATTGGGGGTTCTAGATGGAGTTGAATAGTTAGGACATAAGACCAGTGAACAACGCAAAACTGTGCTCCATGATAAGAGAAGGTATACAAGTAAACGTTGACATAGCCTCTAACCAGTACTCCAGTCCTTCCAGGAATTAAACATCTTTTGTTACGAGAAAACTTAACCTAACTAATGCATCTAGAGAACATAGAAACTTTCATTCTTCAAGGGTGATCGATACTCACTTTGCTCTTCTGCAATTGTTGCAGTTACCTTTAGATTATCCAAATGAATACTTGATTTCAGTGTCCGGCCACATTCAAGAAGATTCAAATCGTGTCATCAACTCTCTTACCTTCCACAGCAATAAGAGGTCATATGGGCCAATTGGCAATTAGAAAGGGAAGTTTTTCAAATTTCCACCAGTTGATGGAAAGATCATTGGTTTTCATGGAAGGTGTGGCTTTTATCTGGATTCCATTGGAGCTTGTTTTGGACCTGTCTCTCATCCATATCCCTTCGAAGTCGTAGGGCCGTTTGGAAATGGGGAAAACTGGTGGGATGATGGCAAGCATATAGATGTGAGACAAATTGTTGTAGTCTCTGGATCTGCAATTGAATCTATTAATATTACCTATGAGGAGGGTCGTTCTTTTGGACACGGTGCAAGTGATGGTGGCAAAATAAATACGGTACAGTACCCTAGTAGGAACTTACTGTCAGATAAACATAACCCTTTCTATTTTCAACGATGCAGCTTCTCATGCCATTGCTGAAGTGTCTTTATGAAAATGATAAACTGTTCACCTTGTAACTTAGGTATGACACCATCAATAGGAGGCAAGTTTTTATAGGACGAAGATTTGTTAAAATAAATTCAACCTAAATTTGAACACCTTTTGAAATTTTTGTATTTTAAAACGGTTGACAAGGGAGAGCGAATCAATTGTTCTCCATCTGTGGACTTTCTGCAGATAGATTTTCGTCTCTAGGGCAAAATCTAGTTATTCTCTCTGGGCATAGTTGTTCAAACGATGAGTTCTTTTCCTGACAAAGAGCACTAACAATGACTTACCCAAGAGATAGAGATACTGTTTGCAACACTAGTGCGTTTGTTTTATGGAAATCAATGATTTAGAGCACAATTTTTGTTTTCATCGTTAAAAAATTAGTCAACGGAAAACATTTTATTTATCAACAACACTTTATCCCTAAACATTTTCATGATGATCAAATTGTTTTTCATTAATTATGTTTTGTAAGCGTACAGTAGATCGGTCTTAGAAAAATATTTTCCAAATTATTGACTTTCCTTGCACTTGGATTATCTTTTTTCTTTTTTCATCTAATATATGTTGATGTGATGTTGACTATTTTTCTGATCATGCATCATCATCTCAATCATCAAGAAAGTGGATCATGCACCAGTCATTCTCATCTATCATGCTTTTTGTCTCTCGACTTGTTGCTTTAACTTTTCTTTACCTTTTATATGGTTGTCACAGATAAATCTGGACTGGTTGCCCAAATATCTAACTTCTGTTTCGGGATATATTGCAAATAATTTGGGTTCTACTATCATCCATTCACTCACATTTCAAAGTAATAAAAGAACACATGGACCATTCGGCACTGAAATCGGAAGGAAGTTTTCATTTCCAGCAACTGGTGGAAAGATCATTGGATTTTATAGGAGTTCTGGTTAAAATCTTGAATCTCTTGGAGCATATTTCGAACCAATCTCTTATCTATATCCGATCAAGTGTAGCAGACCATTCGGGGGCCAAGGTGGACACCCTTGGGACGATGGAAAATTTAATGGTGTAAAAAAATTAAGATGATGTTGGAACACGTTGTCACCTGCATCTCCTTTCAGTATGACGATAATGGCGAATCAATTTGGTCCTCTACACATGGCCACTGTGGCAACGGAGATATCCATATGGTGATTTCATTTCATATTTTCCATTCATATTACCGTTGATCCTATCTCTCACACACACAAAATCTCATTCTCGATTCTACGAGAATTTTTATGAATCCTTTGATTTGCTTCTTCAATGAAGTTTTATTTTTGCAAACTATATCCTGATTTTTGGCCTAATTCTTCTTCTGATGATTGTTCAATCTCTGATAAAAAAGATATATCTTGGTTATGTTTTATTTCTTCAACAAGTTTAGTAACGAGCATAACTGACTTATTATTCCGATGAAGAGAAGAACCTATGATTATCTTTTCAGTGAATATCCGGATGAACACTTTCAACGAATATTTCAATTTTCTATCATCTTTGTTTAACTCTATGTATTTCTCTATCTGTAGAGTACATTGAACGTACGGAAATGGCTTAATAGCTACTTTAGGAGGAATGTTTTTATGCGGTGCGGTAAGGTACGGCGAAGGTCTAGGCACCTACCACCACCTTGTGCCACCATTATATGAAGTATTAGTTTTCTAATAAACTTGAAAAAGTTTTATCAGAGTAAACTTTGAGTGATAGTAACCTGTATAAAAAGTGTGGGTTGCGGGAAGCATCTTGAGGGAAATGAAAGCCATCCAAACATACTGAATGATTGAAGTTGTCTTTTGATTATTAAATTTCTTCCCTTGCGTTTTAATTTATACATTACGCAGAGCTCAATTAACATGCTTTATTGGAGATGACCTCATAAGAGCAACCTAGTAAAATAATTTTTTTTTTCATTGCTAATGAAGTGAATTAGCAAAGTGCGCCGAAGAACCTAAAGACCTATCGTTATCGATTGTTGACCCGAAAAGTATGATGAAAGAATAGTAGTCCATCCATACATTAGCTTTAGAAATTCTTGGGTCTACGATCAACTTCTAGGTTGTACGTGGATACGGTGTTTGCTTAGGCCAATGTAGTCTATCTAAGATATAGATATACATCAATATGGTAGTTAAATTCAGTAAATACTTGCTAATTCTCCAGGTTAACTTGGACTACCCTCGTGAGTTCTTGACCTCAGTGTCGGGTTATATCGGACATGATTCTCCAGTTATCCAATCGCTCACGTTCGAAAGCAATATAAGAAGGCATGGACCCATTGGTAAGGAAGAAGGAAGGTTCTTTAGCTGTGCATTGTCATGCTGCAAGATAATCGACTTTCACGGTAGGTCTGGTGTCCAGCTTGATGCGCTGGGAGTCTACTCCGAACCAATTTCTGATCTTCGTTTTTTGAAATCCATTGGGCCATATGGAGGTCAAGGTGGCAGTCCTTGGGATGATGGAGATAACACAGGTGTGAGAGTAATAGTTGTAAAAGGTGGATCAGCTATTGATTCGATTACTGTTGAGTATGACAAGAATGGTTCTGTGGTTCAGGGCCCTAAACATGGTGGAGATGGAGGACATCTAACACTCGAGGTATGGCCTTCAGACATTTACTTAATCTCATAAACGTGCAACTTCTGTGTTGTTTGCTAAGGTTCGGTTTCAAGGTCGAGGATTGATCAGCGGTGCTATCTATTTAGCTATTACATTTTTTGTCTAACAAAATACAGCTTATCAACCCAAGTGTTCTGTTCATGCTGATTTTCAAGATTCTACAGTTGAGGGGTTGGGATTAAATATGTTTGTGTTTCTGATTTTGCAGATTAAACTCGATTATCCTCCAGAGTACTTGACTTCATTTTCGGGTTACTTTGGAGATTTTTCCGGGTATTCTATCGTTCAATCCCTCACATTTCAGAGCAATGAAAGAACTTATGGGCCATTTGGTGTTGAAGACGGGAAGTACTTTTCTTTTTCATCAACCGGTAAAAAGATTGTCAAGTTTCATGGGAGGTCTGGACGCTTCCTTGATTCACTTGGAGCACATTTTGAGCCTTGACATGCTTTGTGAGGGCCATGCAGTCAATGTTTGAGTTTACATGTAAATGTGTATCATCACGGACATTCTCAAAGGTCTAGAGTGATGTAGTTAGCAAGGATCACCTAGAGGGAGGTGAATAGGTAATCTTAAATAATTTTGTCAATTTATGCGGAAATTAAAGAACACGGTTGAGTCTGAATAAAATTCAGATTCAAAACAGTATATATATAGACAATGCTCTTGATGTGCAGAATGTAAATAAAGAGATAAGGAATAGAAAATCTGCACACAAGTTTATAGTGGTTCGGCTTATAGCAAACCTACGTCCACTCTCCCACGCTTACAGCCTACCGGCTGGATTTCACTATGTAATCATGAGGAATTACAACTTCTGAGTGTTAACACTCTTGTGTATGATAGGACTCTCTATCTCACACAGTCACTCTTACAAAGTGTCCCTCAAGATCTTAATGTTTGGCTCAGAACGACAAGAGAAATGATTGGAGTATGCTCAGACTTTGGACTTGTTGATTCTTGATTCTGTGCTTCCTTCTGCTGCTCGTTGATCTCCTTAAATACTCCTCTGCTTCCAAACTAGCCGTTGGACAGCTTTTAGAGGATTATCTTCCAATGTTCACCTTGGACAGATTTGTATATAAATGATTGAGTAGCTGTTGGATGACAAATTCTGAATCCCGCTGATTCTGGTTGCCAATACAATCAGAATCTTAGTTTCCATAAGTAGAGCTTTGTCCGTTGTAATGCATTCTTGTCGTAGTGTTTGATTGTCAATCAATTTGATTGAGATTGAGACAATCAGAACATTCATTCTGTGAAATCCATGCCAGATCACTAGCTGTTGTGTTTCGTTCTGAATTCTACGTCTGAAGAAATTCTGCGTCTGAATAATTTCTGCGTCTGCGTCTGCATCTGAATAACTTTTGCTTCTGCATCTGCATCTGAATAACTTCTGCGTCTGAATCTCAGAACCTATATTATGTGGGTCTTCAAAAACATACTTGACAGCTTGTAAAGTCTGAATAACTTCCTTCTGAGTTTCCAGAATATAAATACCTGGAATAAATTAGTTCAGAATAAGTATCAGACTTATAATTATGTGGAAGGTTTTGTCAACTTCAAAATTAATAGGAGTTTTCCTCAACAATCTCCCCCTTTTTTATGGTGACAAAACTTTCCTGCAGATTGAATTATTTTGAAATTGATTTGAAAGTAAATAAACATATTAAGCTCATGAAGCACAGATTGAAAGAGCAAACTCTGATATCTGTGTCTTTTTCTTCCTTTATATATAACCTGCAAATCTGCATATAATTTCTCCCCCTTTTTGTCATTAGCAAAAATAATAATATAGAGAAGAAATCATTAATATTAAGTAATCAACCAGTCTAACAAGAATAATCGTTAGAGATATTACAGACCAAATGAAAATGAGATGATTTGGAGAGAAATTTTGAAAAACATGCTATTTTTTTGAAGGGGTGCGAATCAGTTGAAAATTTTCCAATATTGAGACAGCCTCCTCAATCTTTGAACTGCATTGACCTATAGCCTTATCCATGTTGGATGAGCACATAGCAATGGCTTTCTCAAGTTCTGCTTTGTCTGCCGCTGCCTGAAGTCCTTGAGTCTTGCTGTTTTCCTCAACAATTCTCTATAGATTCTTCATGTTTTGTTCTAGTGCAGCTTGCTTATCCTTTATCTCAAGCAGAATGGAGAGGATGTTCTGATTTTCTGAGGGCTGTTCTTGGACATTAGCTTGCTCAGATTGATTGAACCCGGTGGCTACTTCTGGTTGAGTCTCCCCCTAAACAGGTGCTTGATCTCCATAAACATGTTCTTCATGAATTGGTTCTGAAATCTTTGAAGCTGGTTCAGAAACATGTTCTGGGCCATCAGTGTGTCCTGTTTCAAAGTGCTCTGCTTCTGCTTCATCACTTTCATCACGCAGAAGAATTTTTCGTTTCTTCCTGTACACTTTGAGTGGGCTAGGAGAGTCAGGCTGCGTGTTGGCTGAACTGGTTCTTTTCCTGTGCTGTTTTTCTTTCTCAATTTTCTTTCTAACAGATTTTGCCTCCGACTGATGAGCCTCTTTTCCTTTTACTCTTTCCTTTACATCTTCAAATTGCCTCATTTTGGAGAGCATTCTTTCTCCAACAAACATACAAGGGATAATGGTTTCGCACAACTTATCAGGAATAGATATCCTTAAGAATATAAAGATTCGAGTGATAAGTGCACCATATGGAAGTTGTCCCTTGTCCTTCTGTAATGCTCTGTACATATGGAATATGATGATGTGAGGGAGAGAGAAGGATTGACCTTTTAAGATAGCCCAAATGAGCTTGATTTCTGATTTTGATAGGTCAGTTTTTTAGGCAGCTTTGGGCTTCAAACAGTTGATTATGATCTTATGCAAGATCACAGATCATCTGGACAAGTCTGAGTAGGAAAGATGTCGTTGTGATCCTTGAGCAAAGTTTGGATTTTCAGAAGCCACCTATGAAGCTTCTTCAAGATCCATTGCCAATGGAGTAAAATTGGAATGGTTGGCTCCAATTATCCTTGCCAACTCATGCGCTTTTAAGTCAACCTTCTTGTCACCAACAGTGAACTGAATCCAATTGGGTGACAGAATTGAAAGATTAGAATAGAAGTAGGCAGTTAATTCAGCATAAACATTGGCAGATTGACGACAAAATTGATAAATCCCTAAATTCTCAAAAAGGTGCTTTACTGAAATGCCAGCCTTTTCGAGGTAGTCGAAATCCACAGTCCGATTGTTCATGACCCCTCGAGCAAGTAACAACTTATAACAAACATTATGCTCAGTGCTTCTGAACAAACCTCCTGTTCCTGGCACACCAGATGCTATTCCCACCTTCATTTCAAAATTATCAAAAAATCGAGCGTCATCATCAGGAACAACAAATTTTGAGGCACTTGTGGTCTTAGGGCTTATATGAACAGATTTCTTTTCAGAAGGAGTGGAAGTTTCTCCGACTTTTTCTTTGCCCTTTTTGGAAGAAGGTCCTTTTGGAGTAGAACTGGCTGGAACATTGTCAGGGTTACTACAAAACTGAGAGTAGCTTTCAGCGAGATGTTCTTCAGAGAGTAAATTATTGTCTTTAAGACAATCACGCAGAACCGATTCAGAGGCATTGCTTCTCTTTAACCGCTGATAAGCATTCCATACAAGCTTGATACTTCAAAAACGAAAATTTGTTTTACCCGATGATTTTTGTGGCGACGATCGCTGTGCTGGTATCGCTTCAGAAGGGTCTTCATGATCGTCCGACTCTGTGTTTGAAATCTCCATATACTCCGCCGGTTCTGAAGACTTGGAGTCTTGGTTGAGAATATGAGAAGATCTTTTACGGGCCACCATCTTGAACGGCATTTTGAACCCTTCTGGAGCAGAAAGTTTCGATCTTTGGAGGAAGAAGAGGAGAGTCTCTGAATATCGGAAGGGTTTTGAGAGTGAAAAATCGTACTGATAGGGTTTTGAAAAGAAAAGGACGGGTTTATAAAGGAGGAGAACAAGTTTTGGAAGGAAAACTTATTTTTAGAAAATATAAAAAGTGAACACAGATAGGAAGGAAATATATTTTTTTAAAGCACAAATAATCACGACAATATATTATAACAATATTATAAGCACAAATAATCAGATAAATTAGGATACGTACCAGATTTGCTTCCTAAAGTAACGATTATGAAAATATCCTGCCAAAAATGCCAAAAATATACCCGCCAAAATTTGAATAAAGGACGTACCTTTCTTTGTGAGTTTGAAAAATGTTCAGACTGAGAATATTTGAGTCTGAAAAATTCCTGTCTATCAAACACTACAGGAAAAAGGATAAGTAATGCACAGATTGTTTCTAATATACTCAAATGAAGATTTTTCAAGAGGATTTGTGAATATATCAGCTAATTGATTCTTAGAATCAATGAATTGAATATTCACATCACCATTTTGAACATGATCTCGAATGAAATGATGCTTGATTTTAATATGCTTCGCACGAGAATGAAGAATTGGATTCTTAGTCAGATTAATAGCACTTGTGTTGTCACATTTGATTGCAACACTTGAATCTTCAATGGCAAAGTCTCGCAGTTGCTGCTTCATCCACAGAATTTGTGCACAGCAACTTCCCAAGGCTACATATTCTGCTTCTACTGTTGAAAGTGCAACTGTATTTTGCTTCTTCGAGTACCAGGATATCAACATATTCCCAAGCAGTTGACATGTACCTGTAGTACTTTTCCTGTCTACTTTACATCCAGCTAAATCAGCATCAGAATACCCAGTAAGAGTAAAATCTGAATCTTTGGAATACCAAAGACCTAACATTGGATAAGTTCCAATGTATTTGATTATCCTCTTTACTGCAGAAAAATGTGATTCCTTTGGGTCTGATTGAAATCTTGCACACATACAGACACTAAATAGAATGTCAGGTCTAGATGCAGTAAGATACAATAATGAACCTATCATGCTTCTGTATATCTTCTGATCAACCTTTTTACCATGTTCATCCTTGTCCAGTTTGGATGTATGGGACATTGGAGTGTCTGTTTTCTTGCTGTTCTGCAATCCAAATTTCTTGACAATCTCCTTAGCATACTTCTCTTGGCAAATGAATGTACCATCTTTGGTTTGTTTCACTTGTAGGCCAAGAAAGAATGTTAGCTCATCCATCATACTCATCTCGAATTCATTCTGCATATTCTTTGAAAATTCTTTGCAAAGCAGTTCGTTAGAACAACTAAAAATAATATCATCAACATAAATCTGAACAAGTAAAAAATCCTTACCCTTTCTCTTAACAAATAAAGTTGTATCAACCTTACCTTTGGTGAAATCATTTTGCAGAAGAAAGTTACTTAACCTTTCGTACCAAGCTCTGGGTGCTTGTTTCAGACCGTAAAGAGCCTTTTTGAGTCTGTAGACATAATCAGTCTTCCTTGGTTCTTTGAAATCAGGTGGTTGTTCCACATATACTTCTTCTTTGATATATCCATTCAGAAAGGCATTTTTCACGTCCATCTGAAATAATTTAAAGTT